TCCTGCCGCAACCAATAAGTGCCTTGGAGAAGAGAAAACCATATGCAACCTACAAATGGACAATAATGTAGAATTTCCATGAGACTGTTGACTTGCAGGTCTAGGGAAGAAATCAAATGGACTCAAAGAATATACAAAAGGAGTCAGAACAGAAAACGCTAACGCTTCTGGTGATAGGATCTAACATACCCAAAGCCGTAACAAAGACCACAATATATGCTTCTCTTACTTGAGCTCCATCAAAGACGATAAAAGTAATTACTAAGCAGGAAGGTAAAACATTTACTCAACAAAAGTTGTTCTTACCTTGCAATGGTCCACGACATAAAAAGTAAAGATGGAAAAATGAAATGCTAGCAGAAGAGAGGGAAAATGCATGCAAAGTAAGAAGTCATGAATCAATGCTGACAGGTAATTGCCAATAATGGGCCATACACCACCAAGATAAAAGATATGAAGAAGACACAAATAAATTCATATTCCTTGCAGAAACAGAGATCTTTAGACAATCAGGTAAAATCGCTTAACATTAATTAATAAGGTCAGATAAGGACCAGACAGTATTTGCTATAGCAATCAGTTAAGAGTTGGTAAACTAAATAATTTTACAAGGATCAGAAAGAGATCACAAAATATTACCTCTCCTCTGCGATGCTATCAATGTAAAATATCAATATCATCCCAAATAAGATGGTGCTTGAAAAAGCCCAGGCAGAAAAGGGCAGCTCTACATTGTTAGATCCCTGAGTATCTCCACACAAAGAGGGAAAGCAATTTAAAAGAAGAAGAAGAAGAAGAAGAGATTCATAACAACATAGCTACTGAAGGTATCAAACTGTACTCACTATAATCATGTCCCACATGGCAACAGGAAACAAAAAGCATGTCGCAGAAGTAAGGGTTATGGCATGGAGTCGCCTCTTCAGTTGGTTCTGTGTAAATGAGATGGGAAATATTCAAGGGTAGCTTTTACTCCCTCCTTAATGTACCAGATAATAGAAAGTTGAGTGGATCAAATAGCTTGATGGGACTACACAAACCTTAAGTGAGACCCGTCTTGCGATCACCCTCCGAAGTGCTGATAAGATTCCAGCAAGAATGGGAAATAACATTTCCTTCATTCCCACTAGCTGTTCAGTATGTGCTTCATCATCAGAGGAGGCATTGCTAAATGGTATTTGTTTGTTAAGTTGGTTGCTACATAAGATTCAGCGAGCGAGAAACAGAGAAGGAAATTGAAGAACAAAGTACTAATGCAGAATGAATTTACTACAGCAAAGAGCTCAATATAGAAAGGATATGAAATGGAGAATATGTAGCCATTGCCCATCCTTGTGATAAAAAGTAGAAGGATGCAAGCATTGCAAGGAGTCCACCAACCTGATGAAGGGGAAAATAACAACGAATTACCACCCAAGAAAATGCAGAGTGAAGAAAATTTTCCAACTGCTTTTCTTTCTAATAAGTAAGATAATTTCAATTGCTAAATCCCATTTTCTATCATAACATAAACTTATAGCTACTGGATCATAAAGAGAAGAAATTAAGTTTCCTAGTGAGAGTCCAGTACGAAAGATACGCAATAAATTCAAAAGAGACAGATCCACAACAAGTTCATGCTTTCAATAATCAGAGAATTATATCACATGAAAGTATGAGGATTCTTTTATAATTTCAAAGCAAATAAATAAATACAGTAGTTAAAAAGAAGTATACCTTTTTCCAAACATGGCCCCCCCTGCCATACAGTACCCCAGATAATACTCCTAGAACAGCACCAGAATACTCACCCAATATGGCCCTGATTGAATAAGAATATTTAATCGCAAGGAGGCACTAGATAATTAACCAGAAAAAAAATAAAAAATTCAGACAGATGACCCAAGCAGAACCATCATATGTTTTCATGTATAGACAGCCACAAGGGCAAGACATAATGATGATATGAAAGTATATGCTAACAAAAATTACCTACCATGTGGTTATTCGTGCCAGAGTTACTGAATAGGAAAAAAGGGACAATGCAAAATACAAATTCAAGAAAGGAAAAAGTGACAGTAAAATATCACTCAACCTTGAACTTACCGAACGGGACCACAAGATTTAAGGCCCTTTCCCCACAAGATGAAGTAAAGAGCTGTTATACCACCATTTACAACTGAAGGTACCACCTGTCGAAAGAAAGATTATCAGCAGAAACGCATAAGTGACAAGGAAATGACCTTCTGTAAGCTTTTTGACATTTATAAAAGGAAGAAAATGATAGCTCTACTAGACCTGTGTATTAGCAAGTGCCCTGCCCTTCCAAGGTTTTTGAGCTACTAGAAACCAGATGCATGATGGAAGAAGACAGCAGAACATAAATAGAACAACTGAAGCCCCTGTCTGAGACAGATAGCGGTACATGGAGTAAACTGACCATATTCTCATAAAGTTCCCAACAACATGGATTATCTGCAAGGGGGTTTGCCTACATTGAAACAAGTCTGTCAGTAATAACTTCTAAGGTAATATGGAGCAAGACTCACAGACAGGAGGCAAAATTTAACACATGACTCAAAACTACATTAATAGATCCATTTTTCACCATTTCCACTTAAAGATCAACAATTGATAGCCTTATTTACATAAGAGTGTTGGAAACTTGCGTCACTAAAATTTAAGAACTCAAAACTAATAATATAACAGGATTATCTATCAGTGCTTCTAACTATTTATGAACTTAGCCAACTCCTTGAAAAATCTTGAAAGCCATGATTTGGATAAAATGACAGTATTGTTCATTATGAAAACGAAGGTTGCATCTATGAGAACATAATATTGCCTGAAGGATCCGTTATTCCGCTTGGCCAATTTTCAACCAGCTTTTAGCAGGATGAACTCCAGCATTTTTAACTTATTCTCCAGCATGTTTAGACTCAATCAGCTGATGAAAACAATGGCCCTATTTTGGTATGAGATAAAGAAGAGAAACATTTCTTGCCGAAACCACTTTGCAGTGTTTGATTGCCAAAATTAAATTTTGTACTAAGGGAAAAAGTTTCACCAAACAGGAGGAAAATATACACCCGTCATAGGCCAAGCCATTTCCACTCCACTCTAGATTCCACTCACTACTATCAACATGTAACCACTATTTCTCCTCTTTCCTGCAAATTATTATTACCAAACCAGTATGCATCATCCCAATCCCAACCCCAACTATCTACTACTACTACTAAAATTTACCATCTTTATGCCTTACCAAATGCTGGAAAATAACAAGGAGATAACTTTCTCAGATTAAAAAAAAAATTACACTAAACAGGGTCAAAATATGCACGCTTCCAAATCTTGTTTGCCTCCGTAAACAAAAAAGTTTGATACTTGAAAAACAATCGAATGGTTAACCAGTTAATATAATCGTAAGTTGGACGTCGAATCAGCACATTTCTTTGGTAAACCCTTGAAACTCCAAAAATTGCCATGAGAGCGGGAGGTCAATCACCTCAGTCTTAGGAATAGGAAAAATTCACATAAAATTCTAAACTTTAAATCTTCTCAAATAGATTAATTACAAAACGAAGAAAGCACCATTTAGTATTAGGAAATGCCAAATCAAAGTAAGCAGAAATGCACTGAATTATTTTATTTTTTTTTAAAAACAATAATTTCAGAGAAAAAATATAAAATCAAAATATGATTAACATTCGTGTCTTTTGCAAAAGGATATTTGACATACCTCATGGTAGCAGAATGAGATGAACCGCGATTTTCTGAAAGTGGCTTCGGAGACATCATTTTTGCAACAATTAATCTGTTTTAAGCTTCAATGAATCGATTGAGAATAAACTGAGTTTAGTGGTGAATGCAGAGTGAAGAAGAAAGTGAATGCGAATCGATAAGTTAAACAACGGAGAAAATTCATTAGCTTGGTGAAGGAGTGCAAGTCCATGAAAGCCGATGTTGATCTCGACAGCAAGAACCTCCCTCGATCCGCTCACGTGGAGCTTTGGGCTGAATGTTGTTGGACTTTGATAATTGGGCCAAAGCACATTAATGGCCCAACTGTGTCGTTGGTCGGGCAAGTTGCACAGATAGCCTCTTGAAGGACCACTATTTAGGCCATAGCCGAATATTGCAAAATATTTACCTCGTCTATTTTGACTTAGCACGGAATTTAAGAAAATAAAAAGGAAAAATTGTATGAAATAGCAAACTATTAATTCAAATTAAATGTTATAGTCATAGTTTCTTTTATTTGTAATTTGCAGAAAACATTTCTTGTTTTTTGTCATCCCATTTGTATATCGAAATATACAAATAGACTCATTCGGTATACATATTCGTTGTATAAAAATTAATTGCATGACCCATTTGTATACCGAATATACAAATAGACTCATTCGGTATACATATGTATTGTATAAAAATTAATTGCAGGACTCATTTGTATACCGAAATATACAAATAGACCCATTCGGTATTCATATGTGTTGAATTTATGTAGTAATTTTGTTTATATACATACTATGTTTTAGTTTGTATACCAAAATATACAAAATACAGATTTTTATGTATATGTATACCGAAATATACAAATTTGCTATGGAACGCAATTATACAAACTGTAGTTATAGCATACAAATATGATTTTTATGTTTGCTAAACCTAAAATTTACTCACAAAGAATATGTCAAATGTACTAAAAATATTGTTTAATCTTGTTGTCTTAAAAATAAAAAAAAAAAAAAAAAAATTGCTAAAAAATAGAAAAAAAATTATTTATCAAATTTATTTAAACCATTTTAGAATCAATTCAAGACTTGCATTGAGAATTATAAAAGCCAAACTTTAGTCTGAAATAATTTGTACCGTTCGAACTTCAAACATTTAGATTTGAAATTAGGCTTAATCATCCTCAATTTCAGACCTATATATTTGAATTTGAATCACCAAATTTAATTTCAAAATTGTATGTGTGATTTTAATGTTCAAATTTGAAGTTAGCAAGTACATTAAGCTTAGTCACAAAAAAAAAATCGATACAGTAAAAAAGAAACAGAAATTCCCAAGTGATAAAGTGAGACAGAGGAAGAGAAAAAGGGTAACAGAAAGCAATTGGAGATTCTACTGAGAAACAATGGCTACGCTCTGTACTTTGATTCTTCCCAAATTTCCTCAATCCAGAGGAATATCAACAACTCGTGCTGTGTTAACGAGGGATTCCAAAATGAAGGTTCCTTATGAACTGAAGCAGGGACAATCTCGTCTTTTTCACAAGCTTCCCTCTGGTCTAAACATGGAGGTTCTCTACCAGAGGGGCAGTGACCCAGATGAGGAACAGAGAAGATCTACTAAAAACCCACCTTTAGTATTTGTTCATGGAAGCTTTCATGCTGCTTGGTGTTGGGCTGAACACTGGCTCCCCTTCTTTTCCCAAAATGGATATGATTGTTATGCTCTAAGCTTGCTGGGACAGGTACTCTTTATGTTTCAACAACTGCAATTACATGGATAAAAAGATGTAAAATAGGATAAAATTCTTAGATCTCATGGTAAACTGCTTAATTTCTTTTTACTATCCAGATAATGCTTAATTCAGTACTGATGATCGATTAGCCGAGTGAACTAACTTGCAGTTTGATAAATGTTGGAAGAATTGTAATCTCAGATAAATATCCAGCTTTAGTTTCACTTACTCAAATAGATTCCACTAGTTACTCGCCAAGATATTTCATTATCATTTAAATGGTGAAATAGCAATGCAACCCTATCGAAGTAGCAAAGGTATGTTATTAATGTATATGTACCCTTTTGACATTGCCAGGGAGAAAGTGATTCACCTGCTGCTGCAGTTGCAGGTACCCTCGAGGTATTTTACATTTCCTTCTGTTAGATTCTTGTTGGTTGTCAATCAGGAAGTTGGCCTGAGTAATGACATTTACGCTGAGCTGACATTTCTCATTCAGGTTTCGCTTAGTGCATTGCTGAAACGGTTTACAGTTCCTTCTAATTCTGTACTTTGCTGCATTCAGTAGACACATGCTGGTGATATTGCTGACTTCATCCACAAAGAGATCAAGTTGCCACCAGTATTGCTTGGACATTCATTTGGGGGGCTTATTGTTCAGTATTACATTGCAAATATTAGAAGAGAAGCAGTAAAAGGTAATCGTGTTTTTGTTATTGTTTGCAAGCTAAGGCATACTGCATTTTCTACTCCAAATACAAAAGTTCCTCAAAGTGGTTACTTCTACTCAATCATACAGTTTCCTCTTTTGGTGCTACAGGTTCTGATTCAGAAAAGAAAAGCTTATTCCCCAATCTTTCTGGAGCGGTGCTCGTTTGCTCGGTACCCCCTTCGGGTAATAGGTGACTTCCTGTACTGAAAAAGCATGTCTTCCATACAAACTTTGTTTTCACTCAATAACTTGTTTCCCTTTTATATTATTCAGTGGTTTAGTATGGAGATATCTCTTCTCCAAGCCTCTTGCTGCTTTCAAGGTTTGTCTATTTAGTTTAAAGAAACCATATACACACTTATCTCAGCTACAGACTAGCATTTACAAGGGCATACATATGTACATATTGAAGCCACTTGGACCCATTCTTCCTGTTTCAATTTTTCTGTGAATACTATCGATGATAAAAAAGTGATTATAACATCATTAAGTGGGTGAAACGTCATCCGTTTTCTTTTTGCCCTGTTTGCACATCCCTTTTTTTTTTTCAAATTGATGAATTTGATATTTCGAGCAGGTAACTCGGAGCCTGGCAGCCAAAGCTTTTCAAACATCTTTACCTCTTTGTAAAGAAACATTTTTCTCAGCAGGAATGGAGGATCAGCTGGTTGCACGGTCAGTCAAATTAGAACTTAGATGGTTTTTTTTTTTAGAACTTAGATGGTTTGTTTTAGATATCAGATGAAAGAGTAAATGACTTATAGACAAAGACCTTTTTCGTAGAACTCATTTCTATGTTCTCCTATCACTGGTATTAGGAGGATTTTGAAGATGCCTGTGTACTACTAGACAATCTAAAAGTGGCAAAAGTTGACTTCAAACATGTTCCCACTTGAGTTATTCCTGCGACTTCCCAAATATTAGTAGCTTGAACTGGAGATGTGAATTTTCTGAGTTATCAATCTCCAGTTCAAATGGTAGTCATCGAGTTTATGTTAACATTTTGTTCTGTGAAGTTCGTAAATTAAGTTTGTAAATTTGTTTGAATATCAGTCTTGAGAGTTTTATTTTATATTAAACAGAGCAGATGATGCATCTTGTACCAAGCATTATATGTTGGCATAATACCTTGATTAAATCAACTATGTATACAACATTGTCTTACGGCAACATTTGCCTTTTCTTTTCTCCTTTTTAGTTACCAACAGCTAATGACTGAAAGCTCAAGGATGCCTTTGTTTGATCTAAGAAAGCTCAATGCATCTCTTCCTGTCCCTCGACTTGAGGATCCTGCATTTAAAGTACTCGTAGTGGGTGCAAAGGATGATTTCATTGTGGTAAGTTCTTGGATAATTTGGGACAGTATTTGTTAAGAAATGTTTCGAATTTTGAGGCATTTTGTGAACTCTGGAGCTAAATAGTCCTAGTGTTCTGAAAGTAACATATGAATGTGATTCTCTCAGGACATGGAAGGACTCAATGAAACAGGAAGATTTTATGGCGTCCCCACAGTCTGTATTGAAGGGGTTGCTCATGATATAATGATAGATTGCTCATGGATAAAGGGTGCACAACCGATCCTATCATGGTTAAACAGCTTAAATAAAGCTGGGACACAAATATGAAGGAAAATTGCTCCCTGTTAATGTCCGGATTTTGTTGATTAGTTGAAACCACTGCTTTGGCCTTTGATTCAATCAAAGATTGAGAGGTTAAGATAGAATTGAATTTGTACTCTTTGTATTATGGCTTTTGGAGATCTGTTGAGTATAGATCGATGTTGAGAAACTAACAAAACAGAAACAGTAGGTTCAGTAACATGAAAATGTTTTGTTAGAAGAAGTTCATAGACAACTTCTTCTTGATTTGGCTTTGATATTCGTCTGCTGTTGAATCTTGTAAATTCTGAATAAAATGTGAGGTTTGGTTCCAAAATGTTCCATCATGAAAAGACACATGGCTTGAGAATCATATTTAGGGGTTTCTTTTGAGCTTTCACTTTCATGAGAATATTGGCATTCATTGCGAACGAGTGTGCTTCAACTGTGTTGTAGCTATTGTTATGTATCCCAAAAGAGATGAATCACAATGCCAAAAGGAAAAGAGGGGGCAAAATCCATTAGTTAATCGCAGCAATATTATCAAAAATACATCAGCAAGGATTTTTGCACAACTAAAAATTAAGGTTAAAATGAATACTAGAAATACGATGGAATTGGGATACGAACAAGTCAGCGCACGCCCCCTAGTCCCAATTTACACAACAACATATCAGTACGATCCCCATATGGTGGGATCTGGAGATGGTGGAATGTATGCAAATCTTGCCCCTACCTAGTCTTACACACTTTGAGTACAATTATTTTTCCTGCATTTGTACTTTTCTAATCCTTAGCATCTCTGTTTTCTTTAAGTTGATATTATTAGACAATATAAGAGACAAAGTACAGCAAAATTTCCACCTTTCCAGTGATGTCTTTTACTTCCAAACTACACTAATTTAAGCGGTTATATACCTGCACATGCTAATAATACAAGGTGGAACAGCCATTGCAACAGAAAATCACTGTTTTATTAGCAAGCATAAGGGGCTACAAGCCTACAACTATCATTCCTCAAAATATCTGCTGTTTACACCTGCTCTATACAAGTGCAAACCAGAGGAGGTTGCAATGGTAATATTGGTGTTTGCAGGTGCAAATAGGACATCACCTTCAGCAACAATCACTTCTGCTGATGTGGTCATTGTTCCCTCTCCTCCCATGACCACAAACATGGACGGACCAGGAGCAGAAGGGAAGGCAACAGTTGAATATGGGGGAAGAATGCAACGATCCACCTCAAATTCATCAAAAGGAGGGAGGTATCTCATTGTGTATGGATTTATTGCCGTACCGTGCAGAATTTCAGGGTTACCCTGCAACAGAAAAACACTGGTTCAGATCATAAATCAAACTTAGGGAATGCCATGTAACCTGCATGTTAGGTCGTCTTGCCAGACATCTGGCCTGCCTTCCATAACCAAGAAAATTACCTCCTAAGGTGTACTGGGAGGTATCCTAACTGTTGCTAACTAATTTCTACAAGTGTTGTTAGTTTAGGAACTTCTTTGCCGCAATCGACTAGACAAGTGATTTGAACATGAATTTAGGCCATCTTGGTAGATATTGGACTTTTATAGTATGCTCAATCTGAAGGATATTCACCTTCAAATGAACTCAGTCTCCACTATACCATAGCGGTTAATAAAACATAGAGAACGAAAGAATGCCTTTAATAACGACTCTAATGGTACCTGTCTGTACGTGAGCATTGAACAGAGAGTTCTAACATCCCGGTGCTTGGGAGTTAGGCCAGCGCGTACCACATTGTCCGAGGTTGCCATACATTCAACACACTCTCCATATACATATGCATGGGGTTCATTTGCCCCTAAATATAAAGCTTCACCAGGATTGAGCTTCACGTAATTAAACAAGAATGCAGCTAAAACACCAACATCAGCTGGATACTGCTTCTCAAGTCCTAGGACCAGTTGTTCCTTGTGGGTTAGCTCCCTTACCTAAAACATCAAAGTGTAAGCAACTTCCTTAATAATGAATGATGTAGTAAGCAACATGAATATAAACAGCACAGTTCCAGATATGCTTTAGAAGACAACACAATATGCAGTTAAGTTCCAACAAATCATTTGTAAAAGAAAATCTTATGTCTCCCATGTTAAAGCAGAAATACTGGAAAATATAGTTTACATGTGAGCTTTCTGAATGTGGCAAAAAGTTATTGTATTTTTGTTTATGAAATCAAGGTTTAAGTAAAGCAGGAAATACAACAAAATTAAACCACCGCCAACCAATGGTATAATAAAACCAGAGGTTAGCTCCATGGAGGAATTTAAATAACAAATGCAACTAATTGTAGGTTATGCCAAAATTGGTATTTAGCACGCTCAGCTAAACCCTGATAAAATAGATCAAAATTAGAATTTCAATCTTCATATTGCCACACTCATCACCGGAAAAATCCGTAGTGCCGCCACTAGCCCAACTTTCACTTTCAACCATTAAAAATCAAGATAAAGGAGAATCAACCAAGAATTAACCAACATTGAAATTTAAAGAAACTGCCCAGATCAGTTCATAACCATCTTCTGAAGAGTGAAGATGTACATTTTTGTTTAACTTGTTTTATGTTGTTTCTCATTCACTCTTTTGCCAAGACAGTTGGGTAAGACGGCCTGGTGTTATACATTGTTCTTTCCTTCTTTACATACTAAATGATTTCTTTCCGTCAATAAAACTCGGTGGCCACAGTTACTCAATGGGTGGCAGCAAGTACCCATTGGAATAGAGAGGTGCTCAAAAATTGGTCCAAACACCACCGTTATCCCAAACAAATGTAATTAGGGGGCACATTGGAATAGTGTCTTTAAATTGGGAAATGGGCAGAGAGGTGTGTAATAAGACACAAACAATTAACTAAGACAATAAAGAGGATAAGAATTCACAATCATTGAGAGATACTGCCACATAAATGAGTCACTATCATACAGAAGCACAGAGAGAGATTAAATTTCCAAGGGAAGTCTTAAACTTCCATATAATCATGGTGAAAAAAAAAACTTTCATATAATCATGGAAGGATTGTGCATTACCTTGTTTTTGATGTTCAGACGACTAATCAGCTTAGCCAGCACTTCCGTGATCACATCCTTGCTAGCTGACATAATCTCCGTAAATAATTTTCTGAGCACTAATTTACCTTTCTCCTCTTCATCATCCTCGTTCAAGTCCAATACTAGCTCTGCAAGCACATTACCAACCACTTCAACAATCTCAGGCACAGTCTGAACAATCACTTTAAGCTCCTGGAAAAAAAAATATCATCATCACATCCAGTGTCCTTTTATTTTTATTTTTCCAACAGACATGGAACTGTAAGTTCACTCCATCGCCTCAAGCCAAAAAGATAGGTTTTTTTGTTTGATTAGAACCAACTACATGATGAAGTGTTAAGTACACCTGTGTCCAGCCCCATTTTCTGGATCTTTATAGACTTGATCCCTCCAAAATTTGCAATACAGATATTATAATAGATAGAGAATAATGAAACATATACATGTTAGTTATTATACACATGTTCTAACTAGAGCAACCACTAATTAGTCTTTTATTTATGGAGGATAAAGAAGCTAATTGGGACCTTTTCCCATTACTTTATTCCAGTAGTTGAAAACAAAACGTCCAGTTAATTATTAATCAAAACAATAAAGGCAAACAAAACAAACTTTCAATATTTAAAAATTTCACATCATTGTTTTTAATTAAGTCAGACAGCTCTACAGTCACCTTAGAGTCCCCACCATACTCTTAGAATGAATATTTTCCGAATATTCAAACATTAGAAGCTATTCCCAGACAAGTGATCTGGCACTAGAGCCTCTAGATTGCACCGACAATTACTACATTGATCCAGTAAAACAAGTTGCTTAACTCTATTGGAATTTCTTGAAATCTAGCACAACTTACGAAGTACCTCAAGACTTATGAAGCCACACAAGGCCTCAAATTCGGTCAAGGCCAAAGCCATCTCGGGTTTGTGGTTATCATCCTTGTAAACGAGTGGCTGCTCCTTATGCAGAAGAATTGCCAGGTCCTTGTCTGGATGAGCTTGTATAGACAAAGCTTTCTCAATAGAGAGTACCTATAACAGAAAAGCCTTGAATTGATCAGGGAAACCTGGTTCCTTATCCAGTCCAAATATGAGAAATCATAATCTGCTGCATTGACATCATGATAACTTAGAGCAAATAAAAAGCAATGAAGAGAGGAAACCACCTTGAAGAGAAAGGGAAGCTGGGTACCCCATTTGCTAAGAACAGTTTCACCAAGTACACTAGGGTTCTTCTCAATCCAATCTTTCAAAGTACACTTGTTTCTAATTCCCCCACCATTAGCATACCCATTCTGAATTCTTCCTCCTTCTTCCACAATGTAGGATGGCCCAGAGTCATGAGTTCCCATCCAAAACTCCGCATATTGCTGTTTTTCATCGATTTTCCTCCCAGAATTAAGCCTATACAGACGTCCAACACAAGATTCCTTTGCCGAACGGCCCCAATCATAATTCTTGACAGAACCCATTAACCTGAGTAACCCCTTAAACCCTTCCTCCATTGTTGTTGACAGACCATCAGCCTCCATGGAAAGAGAAAGAGAGAAGCAGAAATAAATAAAGAAAAAAGGATGTTGAAGTTGAAGTTGAAGAGAATGTATGGAATTGAATGTTGCTTATACTTTCCATTCGGTTAGTTTTTGAAGGGGCAAATTGTTGTGAGGAGGAGGGGAAGTTGGGGGTTGGAGTGTAGGATTTGGACAAAGCAAGTGACGATGGGAGAGAGTAAATTGATCAGGCGGTTATCGTAGAATTGGGTCACTCCTCTGTAGTGTGCTGTTAAAGGACTAGAATTCACTAAAAGGGCAAATTTCCATTGCTCAACAGTCACGCAACGCCCCTATGATCTCATCGCAAACGGGGTCGGTGGGATCGTCCTTTACTTCTTTATGTGGTCACCACTTTTTTTTAATATAATACTCCCTCCGTCCCATTTTATGTGATGTACTTTGATTTGGCACAAACTTTAAGAAAAATGGAAAGACTTTTAAAACTTGTGGTCCAAAATGAATGATAGAAATTTGTGTGGTTGTAAATCATTTCATTAAGGGTAAAAAAGACATTTTATAGGCAAATTGTTACTTAAAATAGAAATGTGTCATTCTTTTTGGGACTGACTAAAAAGGAAAGTGAGTCATATAAATTGGGACAGAGGGAGTATAATAATACGGTCTTCTCATTACAAGTTCAAAATAATTGAATTGATTGAAGTTTTAAAAAAAAAAAAAGTTTAATTTTTTTTATATATTTGTATGTTTCAT